CTTATCCTGCCTCCTTTTGGATTAATTTAATATTTTTGTGATTCTCTTCTTTTGGTTTATTAATTATAATTCTTTTTTGTTGTTGTTATAACAGTTCCATTAAGGTTTATAGTATGCATCTTTAACTTATCACAGTCAACCTTCAAGCAATATTATACTACCTAATGTAGACTGAGGACCTGTAATAATGTACTTCCATTTCTCCCCTCCCAGCATTTGTGTTATTGTTGCGTGTCAGACTAGAGCTCTTTTACCTGCCTATAATCTTGCAACAACTATGCCAATTGTAGAGCAAGGGCTGAGTCTGGAGCTCACAGACCCCTCAAGCCCATTGTCCAGACTGGGTCACAAACCCTTCACACACAGGTCTACCAGCTAGGTAACCAGAAAAAAAGGTCCTTGGAGCCTTGGTTGAAGAAAAAGTAGCCTTTTTTCAGCACACACACATCTAAGAGCTGAGCAGTCCACAGAGAAACTCAGAAACTGACTGCTACTGGCAAAGTCCAAAGTAAAAACTGAGCAGCTACCAGCAGAGTAAACATGCTCTATTTTTAGACTTGAGCTCTGCCCAACTGCTGCTGCTTCACAAACTGAAGAACACACAATAGCAACAAACTAAAAAGATACATTAGTGCACGTGCACTAACTCCACCCACACACAACTTGTTTACAAGGAATGTGCTGCACCACCCCCAACTGGACCTAAAGCATGGGGGCCTGACTAAATTATTCTATTTTCCTCACATTGTGGTATATTTTACTTCTACTAGGACATAAACCACATGCTACATTGTTATTACTTTGTTTAAACCATCAATGGTCTTTTAAAGAGATTTATTTTTATTTTTTATTTTTTTCCTTTTTGTCTTTTTTCGTGACCGGCAACGGATCGCAACCCTCGGTGTTGCTCCCGCACCTCGCTCAGCCAGTGAGCGGGAACCGGTCTGTATGTGGGATACGAACCCTCGGCGGGAGCGCCACTGCGCTTCCCAAGCGGTGCACTGTAGCACTGTGCCACCGGGCCGGCCCGTAAAGAGATTTAAATAATAAGAAAAAACCTCACATGTTTACCCATATCCTTACCATGCCCCATGTTCTTCATTTCTTTGTGTGTATCAGCTTGAGCACAGTCGGATGGTGGTTGTTTTGCAGTGGTTTATCATGCAGCAATAGACAACTGGAACACATCTGTCCTACAGTCGCTCCCAGACCTTCCCGTCAGGATGAAGTTCCAGTTTCCCACAATATAACTTCTGTGACAACACTTTATGAGCACCTTCACTTCCCTGTGTCCCTTCCCTCCTCTGCTGTGGATGTTTCCTGAGATTACTGCCTAAAAAATTACTCCCATTTGGATTCTCATGTGAGGTTCTCCTGCTAAAGCAACTTAGACTGACACTATTGATACCAAAGTGGTCCTGAAGGAGCAGATGCTCAAGATGGCAATCTGGAGCTGGATAGCTTGCCAGTCAGATGCCATGAGGACCTGCTGCCAGTGGCATGTGAGTGGTGACAGCCTCGACAAGCTGTAGCAACACTACTACTGGTGATCTGTGACAGGAACAGGTGGAAGCAGGTGTACTCGTTTATACGACGTCTCTGGCATTCTAGAGCTTTGGAGGAAATGGTGACCATTCCAAGTTTGGAGTTGGTTGGCTGTTGCTACATGCCACCAAAGTGGCATTAGAGACAAAATGACAATCTCGGGTGAGTTAAGACAAGGTACTAAAGTCAGAGGGCCTCTGTTATGGTCTGAATATTTGTGTACCCCCAAAATTCATTTGTTCATGCCTAACACCCAAGGTGATGGAATCAGGGGGTGGGGTCTTTAGTAAGTAAGCAGATCATGAGGGTGGAGTCTTCATGATGGGATTAGTGTCCTCTTAGGGGCTGAAGAGAGCAGAGTTTTCCCTTCCACCACTTAAGGACACAGGGATAAGGTGACATGTCATGAACGAGGAAAGGAGTCCTCAGAAGACACCCAATCTGAGGGCGCCTTGACCTGAGACTTCTGGTATCCAGAACAGTGAGAAATCAATTTCTGTTCTTTATAAGCCCCCCAGTTTATGGCATTTTGATATAGTAACCCAGGTGGACTACGACAGCCTCCAAAGTAATATTCAAGTAGATCCTCATTTCCTTCAGCCAGAAAGTAGATGGAGCTGAAATCCAGGCACAGGAGCTAATTGAAAATCTGGCAGAGTTTCAGAGAAGGCTGAATGTGCATCCTCAGCAAATCTTTTCTGCCACTCAGATCCTGAACTGAGAGGGGTAGGACCCCAAGGCTTGTGACTGGGTTATCCGGGTAGATGCTTTTGAGAACCTTGAACCCCACATTCTCCTGTACTCACTTGGAAGAATATATCAACATACCCTTCACTTGAAGAATGTGGAGGTCCCTCTGAGGACACAGACCCGTGATAAAAATGCTCAGCTAACTCGTGGTCACTGGAGCAATAGCCAAATGTGGGCCAGCTCGTGACAGTGCAGCTGAGGGAGCGCTGTCCTGCGAGGGAGGGGCGTTCTTCACAGAACAGCTGTAGGACATGGTGATGTCAACAGGGAGGCCCCAGGAGTGTGTGCTCGTTCTCAGGGTGCTGGGCCAGGGAGCCAGAACATCGGGCCAGTTCAAGCAGTTTGCTGATGTGGGAGACTTTCCCATAACTCAGGACATCTTGCCCTGGTGAGGTTCTCTGGAGTCTGCCTGATCCACCCTGGGCATGGCTCCCAAAGCCTGGCAACCAGTGATGCCCTGCATTAAACAAGGAGAGATGCCAGCACTGCCTTGGCAGAACATGGAGGAAGTAATCAGAGAGCTCACAGCCCTGAGAATCTGGCTGGATCTGTTATCCAAGGCCCCAAATCCCATCAACTGTTTACAGGCGGGCTGGAGGACCCTCTGAAAACATGAAACACATATTGACAATGGGGAGCTGCTTTCACTGAGCAACTCAGCCCAGGGACCGAAAAACCAGGATCTATGGAGACGATCAGAAGAACATGGTGTTCTGAGGACGGACGGGCAGCCGCAAGTGAACTGCTCAACACGTTTAATCAACGCAGCTCAAGAAGGACAGGCCAAAGCTGGTGTCACCATCCCGGAAGGAGGTCCCGACTCCTGCCAGTTTCCAGACCTGAGCCAGTTCTCAGACTCAGAAGCCATCACGTGAAGGAAGGAGCCTTCGGTGCCACAGTCGTGATTATTGGGTGGATGTGATTCCCCGCAGGACACTGGACGTTCACCTGGACTCACGGTGCGCTGGGGAAAGGGAAGCACGCAGACCTCCAGGGGCTGTAGGACGGCGGGTCCACGCCCACACTGATGGTGGCCACTGCACGCTCACCACGCTCCATGTAGGGGTGGCCTGTGAGAGCGTCCAATGGGCCGTGACCCACACGGTGGCCATTTCTCCAGTGCCCAAATGTGTAATGTGACTGGACATCTCACGTGGGGCTGGAAGTGTCTGTGCAGAAGACGGAGGCCCCATGGCCTCTCCTCAAAGCCCCCACATAGGGGTCCCGTCGACTCCAAATCACCTCCAAATGGATCACAGACACTTCAATATAGGGTTTGAAACTGTAAAATTCCTAAAAGAAAACATAGAAGGAACACTGCAGGATGTAGGTCTGGATAAAAACTTTATGAATAAGACCCCAAAACACAGGTAACAAAAGAAAAACATAAACAAATGGGATTGTATCAAACTAAAATGTCTCTGCACAACAAAGGAAACAATTACCAGAGGAAAGATGACGTACAAGGAAGGGGAAAATATCTGCAAACTATGCATCCAACAAGGGATTAATATCCAGAACATACAAGGAACTTAAACAACCTGACATTAAAAAATAAGTAACCCTATTAAAAAATGGGCAAAGGAGCTGAATAGTCATTTCTCAAAGGAAGATATACAAATGGCGACACATGAAAAAATGCTCAACATCACTCAGCACAAGGATAAATGCAAATCAAAACCACATTGAGATATCATCTCACCCCAGTTAAACTAGCCATTAACAAAACTACAGAGAACAAGAAATGCTGGTGAGGGTGTGGAGAAAGTG